GAAAAATAAAGTTAAAGGGGCTAAAGTCGAAAAATTAAAACTTGGATGTGTTTATAAATATCAAGTAATCAGTTGTGATAGGGCAAGAAAGGCAAAAGAGGAGAAGTCTAGTAAAAGAATCAATCGTCCAGCAAGGGTGAATGCTAGTCTAAAAGAAAATGAGCTTTGGTATGTTATACAATTCGTAGAAATTCAAAATCATGAATTAGACCTTTCCATGTCTAGGTTCGTGACTGCTTATAGAAATAGCTCACGTAGATGGAGAAATTTTCAATTGGCTATTTAAAACATGGCTTGAAGCAATGGGAGACATTCATTCCATTGCCATTATGACGATCAATATGAATAAGTACTTATGAATTCAAAATCTCATATTAGTCTATTTATCTCCATGTTATTATTGCCATAACCAATTTAATTAGATTTATAAATTAGGAGTTTATTGTAAAACTGTGTAAATGTTTTTCCTTTGGCATGTTTTATACAAATTACCTAAAAAAGTTGAACAACGTTGTTGACCACAATAATGCAGTGCTCGATTTTAAAAGTTTGGTGTATGGTAGAAATAATTGCGCGATTATGTCTTAGAAATAATTACGAATTTTGCTAGTATTATCTTTTTTTATATTAGTAATAATATTTTTTTTTTTGTATTTTTAGCATTTATGTATAAGTTATTCACTTAATCTGTGATTAGTTAAAATGATGATTTTTATATGTTTCAACTATCTAATAAATGTTTAATTGATTTAATTTTAAAAATTTAAAATATTCTATAGAATAATTTTTATAAGTTGAAGTATTTAATTGAAACAATTTTTTAAATTGAAGTATTTAATAGACTAAATTTAAAGTTAAAAGCGTCACAAAATTTTTCACGTAAAGTACATGGATGAATTTATGCGTTAAACCTTTTTTTTATCTCTCTTTCATCTTTTTTTGAGCTGCCACTACTCGGTCATCCCTCTTCATTTTATCTCTTTAGTTTTATTTTTACTTTTTAATTTCTAAAATAATTCTCAAATATGTGTCCCTTTGATATATATTTTGATTAAATATCTTAGATCTGTATGTTTTACGGTCTCTATTCTAAAAAGATAGTTTATCTTTTCTTTTTGATTTGTCTCAAAATACAGTCCATTTTCCTTTTTTGCATTATAATTTTTTTAAATTGTTTATTATACCCTTATTAAATTTTATCGTATTTTCAATAACTCTCATTAATACTCACTCATTATTCTAATATAACAATTGTTCATGTGTTATTTAAGAAAGACGTAATAAGAAAGTTATATGAATAAAATTGTCATTTAACTATAATAATTGCTGCTTTCTTAATCTCTGTGAAATAGAAAGTGTACTATCTTTTTGGAACGGAAGGAGTAATAGATTTTGAGTATATGTTGTCAGATCTATTTTTCTTTTACAAATTTTAAGTTTCGGTTAATTTTTTTAGATTATTATCGCTACTTTCACAGTGGTTTTGTTTGCATTAATTCATTATTTTGATAGTAGTAGGCCAAATATATAAATTCACCCCTTAATTTGATATTTTAATCTTATAACATCCTCGGTTTTTATTTTGAACACATTAAATACTTCAGTTTATAAAATTATATATAAATTTTCAACTTGTAAAATTATTTTATTAAACACTTCAATTTGTTAAATTAGATCAATTAGACACCTATTACATGGTTGAAAAATGTAAAAACTGTTATTCTAAAATTGTGATAATTACACATCAAATCAATATTTTATTTGTAACTGCCAAAAATTAGATTATTAAACACTTCAACTTATAAAATTAGATCAATTAGACAACTATTAGATTGTTGAAAAATATAAAAATTATTATTTTAAGAGCTGTGAAAATTATACATCAAATCAATATTTTATGTTTTTTTAGATAATTCAACGCTACTTTGCACAGTGGTTTTTGTTTGACCATCTAATTCACAATTATTTTGATAGTAGTAGGGGTGCCAAGATACTAAGTAAATTCACACCCTTATATTTGATATTTTTAAATCTGCTATAAACCAGGTCACTCGTTTTTATTGTTTGTGAAGCACAGTTAAATACTTCAGTTTATAAAATGTATATACTAAATTTTCAACTTGTAAAAGATTAGTTTATTAAACACTGTCAATTTGTGTTTAAATGTAGATCAAAGTTAGACACTATCTACATGGTTGAAAAATGATAAAAAAAACTGTTATTACTAAAATTGTGAATAAGTTCCAGCATCAAAGTCAATAAGTTTTAATTTTGTAACTGCAAAAATTCAGATTGATTAACACACTTCAACTTATACAATTAGATCAAGTTAGACAACTTAAAATTAGATCAATTAGACAACTATTAGATTGTTGAAAAATATAAAAATTATTATTTTAAGAGCTGTGAAAATTATACATCAAATCAATATTTTATGTGTAAAAGCAAAAAATTTTAAGAAATTTTTATTGCTATTGTAGAATAGGTGTACACTGTTACCAAAATTCATAATTTTAGAGCACAATAGATCTCCCTTAAAGTTAAGGGTGTCACAAAATATAAGTAACAAAATTCATAAATGAATGTATGTATGTAGCTCCATTTTTTTATACATGAAAAGTCTAATAAATCGAAAAAAACATGTAGCCTATTTAGTAACAAGTAGCTCTCTTCTTTGAATAACATTTACCAATTGATGATAATTTTTATGGCAGTGAAGATTCAAACTCGAGACTTCTCACTCTCTAAATCTTCGACAAAATGTAAATAAATCAATCAGACCACATCCGAAACATTACATGGTGTATTTTCATCATGTTAATATATGTAAACTACATTTTCAGCCAACTTTATATGTAAAATGAGAAATAATAATGGGGCATTATTAATCCTAGCATGAATATAGAAACATGTGTAGTATATAATAATTAGGTTTATACTATAAATTATATGTGCATTTAACATACTATAAAGTTGAAGCCCATAGTACTTTTTTGTCAATTAAAATGGAAACATGTGAGAAAGGTGAAGTGTCACCGACATTATAAGCGTTTTTTAAATCTCAAACCACTTTTTCTTATTTTCTCCGAAGGTCTTTTACGGTTAGATTAACCAAGGTAGCAGTAAACAAGTGAGATCACAATTCACTTGTCCTTCTATAACTTCGTCTTCCTTTTTTTCTAAAAATATATATATATAAATTTAAAAAAGTAGAAAAATTAAGCATTATGATTTTCTATTTTTTTGCTTTAAATTTTTTTATTTGAAAAAAAAGAGAATGATTTCATTTCTAACAATTAAAAAATTTAGTAATGCAATACGTTTAATTCATATATATGACAAGATTTTAATTGCCACTAATGGCTAAGGTTTCATTTATTATTTCGATTATAAAAAATAATATACTTTTGAAGGAAAATAACATAACATATTAGGACAACTTTGTCTATATATTAGAAATTGCCATTATTATTATTATTATTCTTACATTATTATTTTAAAGTAAAAAAAAAAAAAAAAAAAAAAAAAAAAAAGAAAAGAAAAAGAAAGAAAGAAAACATACAGGCCAAAAGAAGGAAAAAACAAAAGAGAGATAAATAGCTGTAGCGCCAAAAAAAAAAAAAAAAGAAAAGAAAAGAAAAGAAAAGAAAACATACAGGCCAAAAGAAGGAAAAAACAAAGAGAGATAAATAGCTGTAGCGCCGGTCCTCAAGGGGAAAGGCTCTAAAGACAGTTTTGCGACAAATGAACACCGTTTATTTTTAAGGCGGGAGATTGGAAGGTTTATGGACCGTTGGATTAAAATGATTTTTTGAGAGAGTGGGGTCCAATATAATGAAAGTTAGTTGACCATTTAATCATCGAGTGAGAAATTGTCGTTTTATATGCGTTAAGAAGTCGTTTTCATTGTACTGTGAGTGTTTTATTCTCGCTTTATGGCGACATGGGAATATGGTGTTTTTTAGCGTGTTGATGTGATGCTGTAACCTCGTGTTTCATGGAGTTTGGTGTAACTAAGGTTAAATCGTATACGTGGAAGCAACAGGAAAATTAGCCAATTTTAGGTCATGCTTTTCTTTTTTAGATAGTGGGCCAACCACCTCAACAGGAAAATATAATTTTCTCAAAATAAATTTAGTTACAAGGATCATGTGATATGTTATCCTACATAAAAGAACATTATATTGTGGTAAAGTGGAATGGCTGCCAAGCTTCACATAAAACATGAGATTTGTCTCTTTTATAAACTTGCTTCAGGTAATAAAATGAACTACAATAAACAAACACTACTTTTTCCCCACTTTTATTTGCTTGAGCATTGATATGTTTGAGACTAATTGGAAGAATTTTATTTGTAAGCATAATCTATAGAGTAATGATTATCTTGCAAAATTATACTCGAGAGGCATATTTGGGCACCAATTTATCTTAATCGATGGTTATAGACTAGAATGTGTTGGGATTATAACTTATTCTGAGTGGAGTCCACGGAAAAATGCTCCAATAATTACTTATTGGATATTGATAATCGAATCCACCAGAAACAATAATCATGGTAAAAATTAAATAATTACCGTAAATGCCAGATGAAAAATAAGGACACCGAGATTTACGTGGTTCACCCTTCAACTGTTATGGCTACATCCACGGGACAAAAAACTTTGAATAATTCTTCCACTAAAAATAGTAGGTATAAAAGAGATTACAAAAATAGTGGTACTCTAAGTGTTTCTCAAAAACACCTTAAAAATTATAATCCTCACTATTTTCTCTCTTTTCCAATTTTAGGAACCCTTTCCTAAAATTCTATACACTTTATGTTTTTGTACATTTTGGTTGAGGAAACTAGGAGAAGGGGACGAGTAATTAACGCGTCCACATACTGACGCGTTAATTAAGGCGTCCATCCTCCCTAATTTTTTCTTCATTCAAACATGTGTGGGTCCTTTTTTCTTTGACCAACAAAAAAAAACGTGTTTGTTGTTTTTTTCTTTTTCAAATGTACGTGGGTCCCATACGTGGGAGGGACCCCACAATAGAATGCTATTAACATAAAGAAGTAAAAAGCATGCATGCTTTCTTTGATGGTTATGTGGATTCCAGGAGCACTTTAAAACAGTTTGTTGAACAATATGAGCTAGCCATGTGAGACAAAAGTGAGAAGGAATTTCACGTTGAAGATAAATCAAGGTACACAATCATAAGATGTTAATCTAAATTTAAATTTGAGGAACAATTCCAAAAGCATTCATTAATTGAATATTCAAGAAAGTCCAAGCTGAGATATATCATGTTATATATTGTCATATCGTTCATCTTGTTCTGAGGAGGAAACAAATCAAGATGAACCAGGTGTGGATACTTTTAAGGTCATGAGAGGTCATTATTGCATAATTGATATTTGAAAGAATTTGTCTATGATGTTCAATATAGGAGGAATGAAAATATTTAAATTGTAATTGCAGGAAGTTTAAGTCAAAACAAATATTGTGTTGCCATATATTTAAAGTTATGGTTGTCACAGACATTCAATATGTGAACAAGAATTGTTTAGTTAGAAGGTGGAGAAAAGATGTATATTATGTAGCTATAATAAGATATTTCTTGATAATGCCTATCCACAAATAAAGGACGAGTGTAAGAAGTTCAAGAACATGGAGTAGTCATTTGTAGCAGTTGCAGAATTGGCATTTGTCAATGAATAAATATAGGTCCTATAGAGAAGTGTATCAACGGGAGAGGAAGTAGAAATCGTAGAAGAGGAAGGCATGAAGGAATGATTGAGAGAAATGATGTTTAGGTGCACATAAAATAAAATTATACTTTGCTATTTTAAATATTTTTCAATTTGAGAATATTAATTCTTTTGATATGTATTATTGCTCATTGTCGTAAATTTTTTTCTTTGAATGTAGGATGGAGAACAACATATTCATAATGCAATTCAAAATGAAGCTGAAAATGAAATTATTAAATGTCAATTAGATGAAAACAACAATTTCAGTCAACGTACCAGTGGGATTAATTTTGACTTGAATGAAGAGTACATATCATTGGATTAGCTCATTTGATATGTAATCTTTTGAATTTTAATTGTAATGAATCTTATGTTGCTTGGATTTATGAATTGTTGGTGTATTTGATATTTGAAAGATATCCAAGTTCCTTAGATAATCTCATTAATATTTTACCAATAAAGCATGTGCTTTCAAAAATATTGATAGATTACTCGAAGGTTTGAACTCACTTGGCATAGCTAATAAGAGTACATCATGATTACTTAGAGGCTTCGTGTTATTTCTTCATTACGATGGTTTTAAAAATGCTATCTGAACCTTATATGTGGACTACTTAGCTTGGTTTTGAACATAGGGTTAATTGAAGGTCAAAAAGGTACTCACGAATTAATAGTAAAAGAAAGAGAGAACTTAATATCCTACACATCTTAAACAACTATATAACATCCTTCATTTTTATCTTGTCAATTACGAGACGACTAATGTTTACAACTGTTTTGCAATGATATTGCATTAAGAATCCTTGACATCTTTTTACAGTAAGATATTTTAAAAGATGGAAATGGTCATTCTCAACTATGTTACATCATAACTCACGTGACAATTTGATTTAAATATTAAATAATTTTAACATCAATTGGTACTTGTATGACTTGTTAAATATTATAAATTACTTGTATACTTTTAGAATAGTTTCAAATTGTATTTATAATAAAAATAAATAAATAAATTATTCTATTTAAATATAGCCCTACAAATATATGAGGAAACGTCTTATTACGAAACAAAAAAAATGGGGCTATTTAAATATCATCAAAACAAAATATATTATTATTGAATCACTCCTATAATACCATAAGCAAAATATTTCCAATATGCCTTCTAGAGAATTTCCATAGTCTCGCACTTGATTGATGCTAAAAATATTTTCATGTCCACCTGTGTAAATGTGCACTCATTTGATTCATTCACTTCATAAAAGCAAACAAAATCAACCTGTCGACTCTCCAACTTGGCTAAATAATGAGCAATACCACCTCGCATGACATGGCTGACACAATAACCATATCGAACCTTGAATGTTGTGGCTGACACAATAACCATATCCTTTTCATCCCAATTTTTTAAATAACTGTATCGATTAGGAGGTACTATAATAAAATTTTTTTTTAAGTAATTAAACAATTTTCATCCATAACTATATTGAAAGAAAAACCTTGGGATAATGTAACGCCCCATTTTTTTCCTGTGTTTTAATAGTAGTTTACCGGTCTGTGAATAGTACCACCGGTCTGGAAGTTGGTATTCTTTTTGGTCCGAAAAATTACTATTTATGTTTTATATTTTATTTAACATTTTTGGAGCATGTATGCATGGTTTTTATGGGTAGAAAGTAAGTAAGGAATATTACTATTTTATGTTTTTATATTTTATTTAACATTTTGGAGCATTGTATGCATGGTTTTTATGGGGTAGAAATGTATGCATGGTTTTTATGGGTAGAAAGTAAGTAAGGAATATTTTTGGAGAATTTAGATACTTAGTGAATAGTGAATTATGGTGTTAGATTAAGTAAGGAAATTTGAGCAATTATTTTTTTTATGGAGGAAAATTGAGGAATTATTTTTATGGAATAAATTAGAAACTTTTGTGGAGATAAATAATATTTTGAAGGAATTTAATTGGAGAATATTTGGAGAGAAGACCAAAAATACCCTCCAATTTGGAGAAAAGACCAAAATACCCCCTTAGTTGCTTTAATAAAGCAACTATCAATTATTGAGCACCAACTTTTGCCTTCTATACACGTTTTCCCCTTCTTCTCCTTCTTCTTCTTCTTCTTCTTCTTTCTTCGGCCTTAGAGGCCAAATTGGGAATTTTTGGGCCTTAGGGGCCAAAATGTGAATTTTTGGGCCTTAGGGGCCAAAATGTGATTTTTGGGCCTTAGGGGTCCAGATTGAGGATTTTCGGGCCTTAGGGGCCAAAATGTGAATTTTTGGGCCTTAGGGGTCCAGATTGAGAATTTTCGGGTCTTAGGGGCCAAAATGTGAATTTTGGGCCTTAGGGCGGCCGCCGCCTTTAAGGGCGGCCGGGAAAACTGGCTTTTTGAGCCTCAAAATTTAGGTATTTACACTTCCATGTAGAGGGTGGAGAGCCTTCTAATAAGGATAAAGGCAAGACCAAAGCTTGAGAAGCTTTGATTAAAGCTTGTTAAAGCTTGTGGTAAATGTTTCATAACACACTTACCTTACTCAAATTTTGATTTTGTGCCTTTATTGCTATTTATGTGTTATATTTTGAGATTTTTTCGATGAACTTCCGAAATAGCCTCCGGTCCGGCCGGACTGTTTGTAGTCCAGGAAAACAGGCTTTCTGAGCCTCAAAATTTGGGTATTCACAGTAGACATTTCTACCTTGTATCTTTGTGGTTCATGTTCCTTTCATGGCTCAAGTAAACTGAATTTGGGAAAAATGAGATATTGAGTGAGATTTAGGACCATTTTTCGGTCCTTTCTAGTTTCCATTTGTGTCTGAGTTCTTCATAACGGTTGTAGGTCTATCTCTTAGCTTTCCAACCCATCCTCTTGTGTCCAATTTGGAGATATATAATTATAATCTCAACATTATGGCCTAAAACACCCCAAACTGACTCTGTTTGTGTCGGGGCCACATGCATCACTGACAATTAAGTGCCCATTTTGACCAATATAATGACAAGATTAGGTTCTGAGTTCTTTCATAAAAGTTTGTTTGCCCTGTGTCTTGAGAATTCTCTCGTTCTGGATTGCGTTTAATTGAGTGTGGGGTTTTTAGTAGGAATTCAAGGAAAAAATTGGACTTGGTTTTGCTGAATCAGGTCTGGTCTGTCAGTCTTGTGTTCCTAGCTTTGTCTTTTGTTATCTTCCATATTGATCTGGGCTGTGATCCCTCATAACATTTGTGGATTTGTCTTAGCTTTCTAACGACTCTAATTTCATTTAATTTGGAGACCCATACCTCCGTACCCGGTTAATGTTTTAAAAAACACAGCAAAAGCGGTCCATGTTATTTTTATTGGCTGGAAATTTTCTTATGTTAAAGTCATTTTGTTTAATATGCAGAATTTTTATGAATTACTTAAGTTTAAATTAAGTTTTATTATGAAGAAGACTAAAGAAAATGGAATTTTATGAGGAAATGTTTTTGGCTCTAATATACTTGGTGTGATTTGATGCAATGATTTGATTTTATTTATGTTATTGGATGAGAGCATGCTCGGGCATTTTGATGCCATTATGCCATTATGATAAGAAGCTATGATCATATACTAGGCACGTGGGTGTCTTATGTTAGGGCGGACGCGCTCTATATGTTATGATAAGTTGGCAACTTAAGGCTATTATGAATAAGCTATGAAGACCTATCTGCTTCTTTTTCTCTTAAGTGTATGTGAGCCCTTGTAAAATATTGTTAAGGAAATGAAATAAATGAGATCACATTATTCTAATAAATCTTAGTTTACAATAACTTATTTATGATATCAAATGAGTTTCTAAAGCATGATGTGTTGGTGTATATATGTTAATACATGTTATAATTTAATGATTCTATGTATATAAATGATTTTATGAAGTTTGGTTTTAAGTATGTTGTCATCACAACATTAGTTTGTTATGTTTTATGAGCACCACTGAGTTTTATATTTTATACTCAGCGCGTTGATTTTATCACGCGCAGGTTGGAGATTGTGCTTGCTGCTTAAACACCTGAAGAGTAGCATCAGAGCTGAAGAAATCTTTTGGTAGTTGATTAGTATTTTATGTAACTAAAAATTTTGGCATGTATAACGATTACATTTTTGGAGACTGTATTATTTAATTTATACCTTAAACATGTTATTGTAAATTATTTTGGTGTATATATATTGGGAGATAAACTTGGACTTATTTAATGGTCAGAACATTAGAAGTTGATATATTTAAATGAATGTATTTAAGTGATGAATATTATAATGTTATTGAGGAACTATGGAGTTATGAAATTATAGAAGTGCTTATTGTGTTGTTTATTGGAGTTTGATTGGGGTTTGGGAGTTTTGAATTTGGAGTGCTTTGTATTCATATGTTTGGCAACGTTTCTATTTTTTAGGAGGGAAACTCTTGAAGTTTTTCTGTAGGATTTTCTCCCAAATTCATTTTCAAAAACAGAATTACTATTACTGTAAACTGTGAATACTAAGTCACTTTTAATTCATAATATGATTATTTGATTTATATGTAGGTTAGGACGGTGCCTCCGGCACCGAATGTGGCACCACCGTGGTCTTTTGGGATTCGGAGCGGGGATTGTTACATTTAAGTGGGTATCAGAGCATAGGTTTTAGGCGATTCTCGGACCTATACTGCATATTATTTAGCATTTATCTATTTTGAAGTGAGGTATTCAGTAAATTTAGTTAAATCATGCCATATTGATTTGTTTGGAACTTCCTCTCTTGATTGCGAACCTTTTGTCTTATGTAGGAGTTGAGTGATGTTCTCAACATCTATCAGTATTGGAGGAGAAGGTGGATAGTTATGGTTATGTCCCTCCTAGTGGTGGTATTCCTGGTGGTGATGCCGCTAGTGGTGCTGTGGGTTCTGATGCGGAGCACGCCTCGAGGGTGGGGCAAGCTGATGCAGGTCCTGCTGGGCCTAATCAGGATACATTTGTTCAGCAGTTAGTTGCTGCTTTAAGGCAGGCAGCAGGAGCTGTTCCCCAGGCTTCAATTGCTCCAGCCCCTGTTCCAGTTTGTCCCCCTATTGAGAAACTGAGGAAATATGGAGCTGTTGAGTTATGGGTAGAAAGGATGATGTGGCTTCTGCAGCAGAGTATTGGCTCCAGTCTGTGGAGAGGATATTGGAGCAGATGCAGTGCTCGCCTGTAAACAGTTTGGTTTGTACCACTTCCTTATTGAGAGAGGAAGCTTACCAGTGGTGGGATACTGTATCACGGACAGTTAGTGCTGAGCAGAGGACTTGGGACTGGACTTGGGACTTCTTTCTTCTGAGTTCAGACATAAGTTCAGACAAAAATATATTGGGGAGCTTTACATTGACCAACGTAAAGCAGAGTTTTTAGCATTAAAACAGGGCAGAATGTCTGTGGC